CATCTACCACTGATGGTGATGTCATATCACACCCAAATACCGGAAAATCACAGATATGTGTCACATAAAATTGATAGCATCATATGTTAAGGCCTGTAGGTACTTTGAATTATTAATAATGAATCAAAAAACTCACAAACATAATAATTTCCCTTGAAGGGCATTCTTTAATGCTGCAACTTAATTTAAAGCATTGGTCCTATCATCTATCCAATTAAACTTCAAGGTGGAGTTTTTTTGAATATTTAAAAACTGGGGGGAAAAAAGGGGCGTAACCGCCCATTTTTAAACCTTTTCCCCCAGTTTTTAAATATTCAAAAATCTATCTCATTCACTGTTGCTCAGTTTTTGATAAAACTACTTTTTTCTGTCTTAGAAAAATCAGTTCTACAACATTGCAAAATTTTTTTTTCCTCCGGAGCTTGACTTTAAGGACACGAACAAGTAACCAGCTTCAGACTTCAACCATAAACCATATGAGGCATGTTGTGGCAAAATGGCTAAGTTGTAGCAAAAATTGAAATTCAAGTTATTGGTATTTTCAGATACCTGAGTATGTGATCTTTAAAATGACAGGTCATTCATTCAAATTGAACATTTCAAGCCTAAGTTATTGGAAAGTGAAAGTACAGTCAAGATAAACAGAATTTTGAGTAATTGCCTTTCAAAGTTATTTGTGCATACACTGTTTAATAGAACGAACTATGAAAAATAACGTTAAATAAACAATTTGTTAAACCGCTTTCAGAACTAATACTTTGGGATATGATTATGAAACTGTTGATCTAAAGTGAAAAACAAATTTGGGTTTTTTAGCAATTTTTTGTCTAGTCACCTCTGTCGATTCGCTTTACAACTGCTTCCACTGCCTGGTGGTCTGAGGTGACTTGCCTTGCCATCATGACTTTTCCAGCCACTTCCGTCAATTCACTTTACAACTGCTTGCACTGTCATATGGTCTGAGGTTGCCTTGCATTGCCACCATGACCTTGTCTAGCCACCTCTGTCGATTCGCTTTATAACTGCTTCCACTGCCATATGGTCTGAGGTAGCCTTGTGTTTCCATTGTACATCCTCTAAAAGAGAAACTTCTTGTAGCTCAAGATACTCAGGTAACCGAAGAAATATATAATCAATCTATGGGATGAAATTTAAAAAAAAATTATTGGTAAATGCAACAGTAGAAAAAAAAATAGCTTACATAACATCATATTTACAACAAAAAAAAAAAAATCCCTATATTTAGTTTGCACCCCTAGACGCCCTGCCTTTCAAACTGAAAATTTGATGATCAAAAGTAGATACACTGATATCAATTTTTTTTTTTTTTTTTAAGCTAGCACCTGCTCCTCAATTAATTCTTGGGTCTCCATTACACCATTGCGCTCCCACCCACCCACATGGATTCCTGGACGCAGCCTCTTCTAGGGCTTTGACGAGCATTAGCTAACCTATGAGTGTAAGCTGGGTCTGAGTCTCATCAAGCGAGGTTCAGTTGGCACTGGATGGCAAGCATTTTATCCATTAAACTACTTCTCTACTAGCACTACTTACACGTTTCCTGAGATGTCGATCAAGACGGTTGAAGGTCAAGCCATAGTCCCTATTTTCATCTCCTTTATAAACACCTGGTGCATCTGCCCTTGTAAGTTTAAAAAGAAAAAGTAAAACAGTGTAAGAATGCATTGCTAACTTAAAAAAAAATATTCTTTGAAACAACAATATGAACTAAAAAGCTAAAAGCTTGTTCTGTCAGGCTAAATAAACAACTTTTCTTTATTCAAAAGCAAATTTGACATCAACTGCCGATTCAGTTCTTGCTGCTTAAAGCCAGGCCCAGGAGGAAAAAATGTTGTTGACATGTTGTAAAACTGATTTTTCTAAGACACTAAAAAACATATCTGACAAAAAAAACTCAGGGACAGTAAATGAGATACTGTACATATTTTTGAATATTTAAAAAACAATGGGAAAAAAAGGGGCACGACCACCTTTTTCTGCCAGTTTCCAAATATTTAAAAAACTTAAATCTCTTCAAGCTTTTGGTGTCTTAGGAAAATCAGTTGCACAACATATCAAAACCTTTTTTTTCCTCTGGAGCATCAATTTATGATTGTCTGAAATAAAAATACTATTCTTTAATCCAAAATTATGTTAATTAGCAAGGAAAATATTTTACCATGTTTAATTAAACAAAATAATCAATTTTACATATTGATAATTTATAAAATGGTAGTGGTGATGGTGGTGGGGGTCAAAGAAAATACCAAAGTATAAAATGTGTTGTCTTACCTTGGTTCCTTGTGGAAAATCCTCCATGCATCTTTTAAATTTTGAGTCCATATCCCATTTATATCAATTTTTCCAGACAAAAACCTGGCAAAGATAAATACATTTTTTACATTTCTGTATATTATACTTATTCTCACACTGTATATGACTAATAAGAGAGTCTTCAGTTGAAACATAATTAATTTGAAAAATATCATCCTTTTTTTAATATACAGGTCTCCCTCTCATTGAAGACGGCCTTATAAGACCACCTCCAATTAAAGTCTCAGTTTTCTGTGGTCCCATATTAACAAATGTTATTCATTATTCTAAGTAGAGACCAAAGCTGCTAAAGACTATGGAAATCCTGGTCTCAAAAGTGGTATTTAATTGGAGTGAGATCTGTATTCATAAATATCGCCAAGTATAGGAGTGGGGGACTCACTGTATAGGCTTGCCATGAGGTTCATCATTGAAGTCTCCTAGTAGAATAGCAGGACCACTCATGGTGTTCATATAGTTCCAGATTTCACGGACAGATCTCAGCCTGGCTGCAGCACTAAGCGAAAGGTGTGTCACAAACACATGTACCTGAGAAAGTAGGATTGAAGGGATACTAAAATTAAAAGTCATGGAATTATAGAAGGTAAATATGTGGGATTAATTATATCCAAAAATATGTACTAAGGGCATATAGAAAAAACTATTAGATTATCACTCTTTTTTTTTGGGGGGGGGGGGGCGGGA